GTTGCTTGTCATGTTCGCGTTGTATTTCCAACTCGCGTCGTTTGGTTTCAAGCTGTACTCGTTCCCGCTCCTGGAGTAGTGCAACCTCACGTTCCTGGAGGGCGAGTCCACGTTCGTGTTCTTCTCTCCTCAAGGCAGCTTCACGTTCTCTGAGGGTGATTTCTCGTTCTTGTTCCTCTCTCCTCAAAGCAGCTGCTTCCCTTTGCTGTTCACGGGCTTCCCTTTGCTGCTCACGTTCAATTTTAGCCAGCTCTAGTTTAAGTTTCATCGTTGCCAAGTCAGTTTTATCTGCAATATAGTAAGTTTCATGAGTTTCAGAGTCTATCTTACCTTGCTCTAAATAGTAATCCAGCAACAGGTTGTGTAGGTCATTTTTGTTGGCTTGGTAGGGAACTTCTAGTTGATACTCATGTGCAAGAGTTTGTAGTTCAGTCCTCTTGGCACGACTTAAAGTCCCTATTTCACCTGCTGGATTTGCACGGAAAGTTTGGAGACGAAACATGGTGAAATTAGCAAATAAAGGTACACGAATGTTCAATAATGAAATGTCAGAAACAGGACAACGTGGCAACTGGTACCTATCCTGTGTGATCTTTAACAATTAACGTTAAGTGAAAGATATTAAATGATTAAATTAAATCAAGGGCGCAGGAAATCTTGTACCCGGTACTCATGTAAGAGAATAAGGGCAAGAAAATCCTACTAACAAATGAAACAAGGTTTCGAAAACAAATGAAACAGTTAAATGCTTCAAAAGTAAAATTGGTAGTCCAAGGATGTAGGCATACCTTGCCAAGTCTCTATAGGACATAAAGCAAGTTTTTCCTACTGAATTTAATATGATACTTACAGAATTAGCGAACTTTTGTGCTCTGAAAAAATAAGCTAATTCCCTACCGTTGTATGTATCATCATCTCTGACTGACGTGTAGGGGTGCGAGGTGTCAACTGGTGACGAGAACTGCTGCTGAGGTCCCAATTCAGCAACTAAAGTTCGAGCTAGAGGAACTATGGCCCTCTTTGTCCTCCTACAGTCAGATTGCAGAAGATTGGGTACTCTTGACCCGGGGCAGACCACAGTACCAGGGTACCAATATGATGATCTGTCAGAATGAGAAATATTCAAGGGACATAGATGGTAAATACGAGTAATAACATGGAGGGAGAGATGACCAATTAAGAGTATGACTGAGGCCTACAGTCACCACGTAATCCAAAGTTGTCTCACCTTCACTATATGTTACTCTCGTAATGCACAATACACCGCACCTTATAAAAAATGAAATTGAATGAAAAATAGTAAAGCTACGTTAACAAAGTTAAATACGCTTACCATAAATTACCACTTAGCACCAGTACCTGAGTTAAGCTCCTAGGACAGGCCCCCATATAACTTGTGACGGTAACGCGTTGGTGTTCGGCTGTTTAAGGCTAGGGGTATGGCCTCGTCACATAGTTATAAAAAAAAAAATAGAAAAACTGGAACTTCGTCTGTGGTAAGGTAAGGAGAAGACACACAAAACACAAGTAAACTTTAACAATGAAATTTTAATTACGTTAAATAAATCAAAACATGAAAATATGGACAAACAAATATGTATAATAAAATCAATGAATCAAAATAATAAGAATACTTAAATGACACAATGAAAGTTACGTTAAGGCAAAATAATAAGAAGTGCAACACAAAAGTTAAGTGGGAGGTGCTGGAATATTGGCTTAAAGCCACCACCTCTCTCAGTACACGCTAACGTCTAGCTGGGAGGAGTGCTGGCTACGAAAGCACGGAACATTCTGAGGACTGATGTTGGGGCGACCCCAGACATCAGGTAGTATTGGGGGCGAGTGCAGGTGCAGCCAGACCGGCGACCAATCAGCGGAGCCGTAGCGATCAACGGGTAGTTTGGTGGTTGGAGTTCGAACAGGTGGCTGGTTGCATACGTTTCTGCTCACCCTGGCAAGCCTTGCTGGTGCTGGTGTTGTTGTCGTTGTTGGACATTTCTTCCATAGTCTTTTTATATAATTGTGAAGACGTAATTTTGGAGGGAAGAGCAGGCTCAATCTCTTGAAGGAGATTATCGTCACACTATACATACTATAAAAGGTATTTAATAAGAAAACAAAGACTTTTGCTTAATAAAAACTGTTTCAAAATATTTTATTAATAATAATTTACAATTTTCTTCATTAAAGTGAATCATTTTAAAAGAAAATTAAGATGTAATATATGACTCTGGACGATCCAGGTCGGTGGCGGCCTGGTCGCCATGTGAGGGGACGCTGATGCCACAACAAACCTGTAACGGTTCTATTGTTACGTAAAGTATGGTGACAAATAAACACAGACACTAAGATACTATATATATATTTGGTCGAATATACAGAAGTACACCGGTGATACTTTGGTGTGAGTTGAGCGCACTGAGCGTCGGTACAGTATCTCGCAAGTGTCTGCTCTAGACCACACTTGAAAGTAGACTCTGGTTAATGTTTGCTATCCTGCTGCTTATATGCCCGGGCAACTCCACACCGTATTGCCCGGGCAACGCCTCACCTCTTTCATCTCCAAAGGTTGACAGGAATATTAACAATGCATTTGGAGCGAGTATATTATTGGATAATCTACTCGCTACAGAACTCCCCCTCCCAGGGGATGAAAGGAAAAATACTTGATCAAGGAACTTAGCTGGTCAGTGAATTGTACGCCCTGCTCGCGTTACATAACCATCAAAGTTAACGTCCTCCTCTTCGCTGATGTCATCTAACTGGGGTCGTAGGGTGGGAGGTCGCACAGGATCGTCCGTCGTCGTAGGATCAGGTTGTGGTGCGGCTGGTAACTGGGGTCGAAAAGTGAACTGCGTAGTCGGCGGATGTGTCTCTGGATTTAGCAGTGTCGCAGACGTTGAGACGAAGCCTGGAGCAGAGCAGAGAGCTGAGTGAGGCCGGAGTCGTGGAGCTCTATGTGGGAGAGCGTGGCGGCTCGATTGAGATTTGTGAGTGTCTAAACACGGGGAGCGAGAGCGTGGCGGCTCGATGCGGTCGTAGTCTGCTGTCTGCTCTGTGTCGAAGCTGTAGCGTCTTGGGTTGATTAGGACTGTACACGCCGAGTACTACATTGTTGACTGTGGAAATTGTAGTCTGGTACCAAAAGATGTAGGCAGTGTGTGGACAAGCTCGGTGTAGCAGGAGAGAAGAATGTGCATAATTGTTGCGTCCTTGGGTCGCTGGTGGAGCATTTAGATCCGGGGCGGATGGGCTCGGGCACCAGGACATTAGGAGGTAATGTAGGCACGTAGTTAGGACAACGAGGTAATCACTGCTAGAGCTGAATTGTCCTGGAGGCGACGAAGAGTCGGAAACGCAAGCTGTAAGTCCTGTACTGCGCAAAGTGCTTGAGTCGGCAGAGTATCAGAATGCAGTGAACGTGTAGATGAATCTGACGAAAGAGCAGCTTTCGTGGGCGCCCCTGTAGAACAAGCAGTGCCCTGGCAGCGACGGAGAGTCGGCAGGACAGGCTGTAGATCACACATTATGTAGTTACTGATGAAGCTGCCAGATGAGTGAGTAGTGATCGTGGAGCAGCAAGCCGTAGTAGATGAAAATGTAGAGACGATCGCGATGAAAATCATAGCTATGGCAAGGGTGTTGGCAACGTTCCATGACAGGTGGCTGCGGTCCACAGCAAGCAGCAGCAGTGGAGGTCCAGTGAGAGTCCATGTTGTAAGTGTTGGCAGCGTACAGGCATATCGGGCTTTCTCAGTCGAAATTTCGTGAAGGTCGAAAATAGCCTCCATCTGCATGAACCAAAATTCTGGCTCATCTGCGTTGTATGCTGGAAACCTGGTAGATAAATCCATGGCGAAGATCTAGTTTGTGACTAGGTGTTCTTTTTCACTCACTGGGTCACCAAATAGAACCAAATAGAACTGGAACAAATGGAAATGGAACAAATAGAACTGGGTCACCAAATAGATGAATAGAACTGTTACATTGGTCACTCCGGGGTCACCAATGTAACGGTTCTATTGTTACGTAAAGTATGGTGACAAATAAACACAGACACTAAGATACTATATATATATTTGGTCAAATATACAGAAGTACACCGGTGATACTTTGGTGTGAGTTGAGCGCACTGAGCGTCGGTACAGTATCTCGCAAGTGTCTGCTCTAGACCACACTTGAAAGTAGACTCTGGTTAATGTTTGCTATCCTGCTGCTTATATGCCCGGGCAACTCCTCACCGTATTGCCCGGGCAACGCCTCACCTCTTTCATCTCCAAAGGTTGACAGGAATATTAACAATGCATTTGGAGCGAGTATATTATTGGATAATCTACTCGCTACAAACCCAATACCGACTGTCGGTAATATCGACCGCAGACCGGTATAGCAGGCTCCAGATACTGGGCTCCCAAACCGGTCGTTAATACCGGCAGATCGGTATAAAAGAGGCCGTTAAATTGAGTGGATACTGTACTCGTTTTCACTTTGGTTACCTCAATTATCAACCTAGGTCTTTCATTTTGATATCATTGTGTTAACAATAAAATTCCCTACAGGAGTATATGCATATACAGAAAGTTTAAAACCACGGTGCGCCCCACCAGCAACCAAGCTGAAAGTAGGCTGAGCTTTTTTAATTTTTGACACACCAATGTGTCATTCCCGCAACATTCGTCTAATAAATCTTTGATGCCGTACTGCGTCATCCCCATGATAAAGTGTTAAGGTTGCAGTACAGTAATTTTAGTGTAAAATAGTTTTCATAAACTGTATTGTCTTAACCACTGAACTGTGCAACGTGCCTGCAGGTGCTCGACGGGTGGTGCGCAACGCGCCTCAGGGATATTATAGGTATAGCGTACCATTAAAAACTGGCGCACGGTGATGAGGGTATGAAATGGATGCTTGAGGGCCCCAGTGATCGTTCTCCATTTTGAAAAACAATCCCAGCATGCCTCAGGGCCGTGAGGAGCCTTAGTTTCAAGGAAGCAACCATGTCTGATGCATCGTCTAGGAGCTTCCACTCCACGGTCAGCCGCGGTCATGCAAAACGACTCTCTGAGGAAGAAATACTACACATTTTGTACGATGATGGTGCCATGGATGATGACTTTGACTACGATCCTTACCTCTCTGTCCGGCCCGTTGTTGTCGTGAGGGGGGCTTGGTGGGCGACTGCTGGGGTGTGAAGCTCCATAGGTCAGTCCTCTGTCCTTTTGGGGCCTTATGCTCCTGCTGCTGTTTTCTACAATTATGCCGGATCTCTTTTCCTTTTCCTTGTGTTTGATTTTTCTCCCCCTCTTCTCCTTTTTAATTGTCATTTCCCGCCGACCTTTTGCCAGTCTTGGTTATTCTTTTGGATTTCTTCTTTCTTCTGTTTTGACGCCTGGGTGTTTGAGGAGGCATACTCTCTCACCGTAGAACTGTGGTACCCAACGTCGTGAACAAGGGGATGCTTCTATTGTCACTTCTTTCATCACTGAACCCGATCTCGATGGACTGATGGTTCTTAAGGTGGCGTTTGTGGGGAGTATACTCATGACGCACCCCTGGGAGGCCCCGGCAAGACCAGCAACATGTCTCTTGTTGGGTGTCCTGTCCTCTAATTGTGGCTCCGTGGTGGGTGTGAGGCCCCATTCGTGAATGAAAGTCTTCACTCTTGTTTTCATGCCAATAACTCCTGTTCCTCTTATGACTTCTCGGACTTGTGGGGAGGGTGACCAGGTCCCTGAGTCGGACTGTTGGAAGATGGGATTCTGTAGCCCTCTGCTACATTGGGCCCAGACCCTGCTCCTCCTCTGACCCTCCTGATCACTTGTGTTGTCCCGTCTTAAGTACTGCTCAGTACTCACTTCCCCCTTCAGAGCAGGAGAGATTGCTGAAATAGAAGGAATACAGAGAACATATACGGCACGCATAGACGAGATAAAGCACCTAAATTATTGGGATCGTCTCAAAGCTCTCCAAATGTACTCACTAGAAAAGAGACGAGAGAGATACCAAATAATATACACATGGAAAATGCTGGATGGACAGGTCCCAAATCTGCACAGTAAAATAACAACGTACTGGAGTGAACGATATGGAAGAAAATGCAGAATAGAACCAGTGAAGAGCAGAGGTGCCATGGGCACAATCAGAGAACACTGTATGAACATCAGAGGTCCATGGTTGTTCAACGTCCTACCAGCGAGCATCAGAAATATTACAGGAACAGCGGTGGACATCTTCAAGAGGAAACTAGATTGTTTCCCTCAAGGTGTGCCGGACCAACCAGGCTGTGGTAGATATGTGGGCCTGCGGGCCGCACCAAGCAACAGCCTGGTGGACCAAACTCTCAAAAGTCAAGTCTGGCCTCGGACCGGGCTTGGGGAGTAGAACAACTCCCAGAACCCCATCAACCAGGTATCAACCAGGTATCCTGACTACTCCCCTCGGCTCCCCTCCTTCCTTTGTGGTTGGGTTGAGCCCTAACCCCCCCAGCGGTGACCACCTCATCCCCTGGTCCGGCTCCATCTCTCATTGTAACTACTGCGTATTTTAACCCCTCTCTCTTTCTCTCTCTGGGGTTCTCAACCCCGTCCCCGCCGCGGCCGCACTCACACGATCCCTTCCCATACTAATTTGTACCATGCCTTGTTTAGTCCTACAACATGGACTAAGTACTTTGACCTCCATCATTTAGATTCTACTCCTCCTGATGATTTTTCCCAACATAAGGCACCTTGTTGATTCGGTGGATGCCTCTGTTACTTTCAACCCCACCCGTCTCAGTTCGCGTGTCGCTGCTGGTGCTTCTTAGGGTGCAGCTACCTGCTTGGCCACCTTATCCTGCATTGGTGAGACTCCTGTTCAGGTCTCCAAGAACGCTCGGTTAAATGCCAGTGTTGGCACTATTCTCCTCTCGTACCATGTTTCAACTGGTGTTAGGAATCTAAAGGACTGCCACAATGATATCAAGCATATCCTTGAAGCCTAGGGTCATTCTGTCCCCGAGGTGGACACGTTTACCCTTCCCCCTCATGGTCGTCGCCATCACCCCCCTTCGGGTTGTGAAAATTACCTTTGATGGACCCTTCCGCCCTCTGGTGCTTTTGCCAGGTGCACCGTTCAGGAGTATATTCCCTCTCCTCGGCTTTGTAATAAGTGCTGGAAGTTTGGGCTCCGATGCTCCAGTACTGTCTCTCTCTGTCCCTTGTGTGGGGCCGAAGGTCACTCTAAGTCGGAGTGAACTTCTCTCCAGGCTCGCTGCCTCAATTGCGGTGAGGCCCACCCTACCTTCTCCCGCATGTGTATACATTGTAAGCTTGAGACAGCCGTCTTCAACTTGAAGCACCGGGAACGTTTCTCTTTTCCTGAGGCGAGGCGCCAAGTTCGCCGTTACCCCCCTTTCGCTTGCGTCTCTTATGCTTGCGTGCTGCGCTCTTCCTCTCCTCGTCCTTTCCACCTTCCTCAGTCTCACAACCATTTCCAGGCCTTTGACCCAGACACACACACGTCTTCCTTCCCAGCTCCTTTCCTTTCTGTCACGATGGGTCCCCCTCCTGGTTCTCTGTCAGGGGTTCCCCTTCTTTCTACCCAGTCTGTCATGTCTCCTGTGGTTTCTTTCTCATCTCCCTCCGATCCTCCTTCCCATCCTTCTCCTCCGTCTCTTAGCTCTTCACGCTGCCTATCTGTGCGAGCTGATGTCCATCACTCTCCTAGCGATCATCGTGTCGTTTGCTCTCGTTCTTCTTCTGTTGAGACGCTTGAGTCTGTTGTCCAGTACGTTGTTGCTGGAACACTTGTCATTTTGAGTCAGAAGCGAAAGCCTGGCTCATCTCCTTCCTCCTCCCTGGCGGGTAAGAAGGCTTCGCTTTCTTCCTCACCCCCTCACCCCTAACTCTGCCACTCCATCTCCTCCCATTTCGGTGGTCGAGCCCCCTGTTCCTGCTATGGTGGTTTCTTTGGCTCCCGCTTCCCTCTTGGTTGCTGCCCATGCTGAGGTGCGCTCCCCGGTTTCTGCCCCTCCTCCTCCTCCTGCTGTCCTTGACCCTCGTTTGTCTCCTCCTCCGAACCCTGCTCGTCTGCCTCCGGTCTGTCCTCTCACTCCCTTCCCTCCATCCTTACTCAGTTTACCCATGCCCCCCTAACCCTGACTTCGCTGACCCTGATCCAGATCCTGAGCTTCTTTAACATGCTGTGTTCCTTTTAATCTTTGTTTCTTCATTGTTTTCTGTTGCTGTAATTTCTCTTTTTGTCGATGTCTATTCTTCAATGGAATATTCGTGGATATTACTGCAATTTCCATTAACTCCAACCTCTGATTTCACAGTTTTCCCCCCTTTGTGTCTGTCTCCAGGAGCTAATGCTTGGTACTCGTCCTGGTCGCTTCCATGGGTATTCCTTCCCCCCCCACCCCCCTCCCCCCGTAACTCTACTGCTCTCTTGATTCGTTCTGATGTTCCCTTCGTTCCCCCTACTTTTTCCACCGCCTCTGCAATGTTCTGCTGCCGTGTCTTTTTGAATAAATGGTATACAGTTTGTTCCATTTCTCTCTACGCACTTGTCCCGCTTTCTCTTCCTGATCTTTAACACCTACTGGACTCCTTGCTAGAGCCTGTGCTCCTGCTGGGTGATTTTAATTGTCGACATACCCTCTGGGGTGATGTTCACACAAACACCTGGGGTCGCCTTCTTGAACCGTTCGTCCTCTCTTCTTCCCTGTCTCTAAAGAATTCCGGTGAACGCACTGATTTGGACTCTCGAACTCGCACCCTTTCCTGACTTGATCTTTCTCTCTGCTTGTCGTCTCTTTACTTGGCTTTCTCGTGGTGGGTTCTTGATGCCCTCCATGGCAGTGACCATTTCCCCATCCTTGTTACCTTTTTCTCTTTTCACTCTCCCCTCTCCTTCCCTAGGTGGCAGTTTACCAAGGCAGACTGGAACCCTGGAACCTCTTTACCCTCCGAGCTACTCTCTCCGACCTCTCCCTCGCACCCTACTTCTTTTTCATGACGCCATCTTTGACGCTGTCCTCCACTTTATTCCTCACTCTACCTCTCAGGGCACGCGGAAGTGCATTCCTTGGTGGAATGTGGACTGTGCTTGGGTTGTCCGCTGTAAGCGTGCAGCCTGAGATAAAGACACCGCCGCCGGCAGACGGCTGATTCTTTTGTTTTGTTTTGGAAGGCGAGTGTGGTGGCCCGTAGGATCATCCGTACGGCTAAACGTGAGTGTTGGAAGTCTTATGTTTCCACCATTACGACCGAAACTCCTCTGCTGCAAATCTGGAAGCGTATCTGCAAAATACGCAAAAACCAAGAGTGAGCTGTTACACCCAGCCAGCCCTCCCTTACTTCTCCAACATCTTACTCGCCAACATTCCTCCTCCCACCATACTGTTATTATTTTTATTACACTAAATACACATGTTATGTGTAAGTTTCTACATGTTTTATTCACCATAACTATGCAACTAAACTGGTATTGTGTCCAAACAGCAGTGGCCACCATACACTGCATGACAAGTCACAGCAGACGACGACGTCACCTTCCTCACCAAATTGGCTCCTCCCAACATACTCCAGTTGCTGTTATTATATTATATACACACATTGTATATACCCCTGTACATATGTGTTCACTATAGTGAACCACTAAGCTAGTATGGTGAGCAAAACAAGAGTGGCTCCCACACACAGTGATGCTACCTTGATTCCCTCCCTCCCTCAGAAAAAATTCCTCCTCCCACAATATTATGCACAGTGCTAATTATCACCACAATCCTGCTATTATCACAATCCTGGTCACTAAATCCTATAAATGAATAATTGACCACACGTTTATTTTGTAAAGGAACATATAAAGTCGTTTGAATATTCCTTGATGGACGAAATAATGCTGTGGTGAGTGTTGTGAACATCTTCAACAGCATTGATTCACTGATATTTGAACATTGTACACAGTCATTATCAGACTTAGGCTCTTCTGCAATACTATCATGGCTAAATAATACCAGTTATATATATATTTTTACATTATTAGACGATGCTGTGGTCACAAGCTGAACAGCAGTCCTGTGAGCTCTTGCTGCATGCACCAGCCTTAGTTGCTCACTCAGTACTGAGGCTCTCACACCCAGGAATGTTGCCGACGATTTTGTTTTTTAAAT